TTCTGCCATGTTTACATGAGGCTGACAAAACAACAGCTCTCTCTGCTGAGGTAAGAACAGTAGGTGTGAAAACTGTTTGGGGTCACATTCAAGTGGAAACCCAATCCAAATAGGAAATCTACCTCAAGAAAGTTCATCTCTGTTGTGCTAATTCCACCAACTTTAGCATAAAAAGCATTATTGTAGTACCTGAAATTTTTGCAGCATAAAAAAGAACTTCACTCTCCATATCCACAAAAGAACTTATATATAAACCCCCCAAATGAAACCTAATTAATTAACATCTCTGGATCATAATGTTTTTTGAGTATTTAAATCTCTCTAGGTTATAAAAAATCTCTTGGCATAAAGTCAATAAAAGATATTAGTGATTCTATATGATTGTTTCTAACTTCCAAGGCTTTGTTGGACAACTTGGACTTTAGCTTTCAGTTATGGATGTAAAGCTATTGAGACAGTGTCATGCAATTAATAATTAATAAATTTCTAGCCAGTGCTACATCACAATCTTTTTTGGGTGGCTGTCTTAGAGGAAGTTGTCTGGGGGTGGTGAAAGACAAAGGAAAAAAGGCTTTACTAGCTGGCCTTAACTTAATTTACAAGCCAAGACATTATTGGGGAAAAACAATTCAACAATTTCCACAATCTGATTAGGAAAGTTAACTTCAATATCAGGGTTGCTCAGTCTTTTCAGTTGTTACACACTAGAAATTAACTTAAATCCCAAGAGAAACACAAAGACAATCTACTCATACATCAAACCCATTCTAGAAATCAGAAACAGAGCTAACCAAGTATACAGATCAATAATTAGTATGTTACCCATGACAGCAAGCTAAAGAAAGAAGACAAATTTTATAAGCCCAAGAATTTCTTAAACTACATAACCCAACAAGAAATCGATTTAGTTAATGACAAGTGTTCATCCGCGATTCATCACTGTTTCAAGTCCAAAAACTGTCCCTCCAAAATGAGGCTAGGTACGCCTCCTTACCTTTTCCAACCCCTTTATAAGCATAAACCTTAATCATTTGGTTAGGGCCTTGTTATTAACAAAATGACTTTAAGAACTAAATAATTGTAAAAACTAAAGAAAATATCATAAACCCAGAATACAAATCCGAAGTCTAAAATTTTCTTCCCCGTCAGATACAAGTTCCAATGATCAAAACAACAAATTGGGAGAGCAACTTAAAGGACAAAGAGAAAAAAAAAACCAAAAAAATAAATCTAAGCAGCTCAAGTGTTTGTGATTTGTAAAAAGTGAAGGAACACTGAAAACTTACATATCATCCATGAATTTTGCAGCAACCATGACACTAGTGATGAGCAACCGATGAACATTGAAGGAATTAATTGGCAACGCGGGTTGTCGTTGAGTGAACCGATCAAGATAAACATACGCAACAATGAAGCATGAAGGGCTACAATTTGCATACTTGAAAATTCTGTCCAGGTAGCTCTGAATTGAGATAGTTGGCCTTGTAAGGCCATGAAAGACAGAGATTTTCTGGGTTTGGAATCGACGGTTGAGATCGTTCGATTCAGCTACCCTTTGGAGGAGAGAAGAGAGGAAGGTGATGAGTTTTGGCATCACATTTGGGCTCTCTAAATCCGCCATTGATGAGCACACAAAAAAAAAAACCTCTGTTGAATGTGGTTTGATGTTTAGTTATATAAGTACGGTTGCTCATTATTGGATGGGTATGTTGAGTTTACGAAAATAGCCTTGGGAATTTGAATTATGGCTAAAGTATCCCCCAACACACACAAAACACACCACTTGTGTAGCTTTTGTTCTTTTGGTTCAAAAGGTGTGGTTTTGAGTTGGATTATGATTACCTAATTCAAACTTGAGTTCTAAAAGAGGGAAAAAAAGGAGTGATTAATGTGGGCTTATATGAAATTTATGATGACAAATCAAGAAAAAATTAGGCTTTTGTGGAATTTTGTTAGGTGAACTTTTGGATTTAACCAAAATTTGTCAACCAAATCCAATAGTGTTAGAATGAATCTCGGTATGAGATGAAGTCTACCATCAATTCAACTACAATAATGAATATGATCGGTAAGTTTGGTACATATAATATTATTAAAATTTTTGATTCAATGGTATTCATTGGCCTTATACAAACTTTGTTTTCTTGCATGGTTAGTTGGCAGAATAGATCTCAATTAATTGGACGAATTATATTTAAGTATTTGGTGTATGTTTGAACCTCTATCGAAACGTAAGTATTGATTTAACTGATGTATGAATTGAAATATCGATTCATGCACCTAGAATTTGCCCTCTGTTCTACTAAAACTCGCTAGACTAGTCGATATAAGTACATCTTTATTCACCAGGGACAAACCAATCAAACAACTTCAAAAAAGAATATTTTTCAAAAAATCTTCTAATAATAGCAGTTTTTTATAGCTTTAAACTACTTTCAACAAAGATGTAAGATTTGAACAATAGTGATGGGCAATATTTGGAAAACAATAATGATGATGGCAATGCCATACTTATCATGTGAATTAATGGTGATTGTAGCTTTGTGGTTCCCACCTGAGGGATCTAGCATGTGTTCAGATTTAAGGCTGGTTTGATGACAAAATAGAGATTTGTGGTGCTCCCATCACAGCATTGGCACTCCACATCGAGGTGTTGTTTGGTAATAGGGTATGAAAGGTTCGGTAAGGCGAGTTCGGAGAAAATAATTTAAAGGATCCTTAAATTTTATGTTTATATGAAAAATTCAATCTTGCGTTTTCAAACTCAGCCCATAACTAACCCGAAGATTAAACCCATCATCATAAGCTTTGTCAAACTTAAAAGGGGGTGAGTTTAGGAAGGTGGGTAAAAGGTTAAAGATCCAAAAGACTATTGTCTCTTTAACATGAATATGAATTGAATTGATTAAAGGTAAAATAGTAATTTACAAGATAAATAATTGTTAATAATTAAGATATATTCATATGTTCTATACCGCTACATGTGTATGTATTGCATACCAAATATATGTATGAACCGAATTAAATATTAAATCTCATCTTTGCAATGAAGGGTTTGGGTTTTGAAGAAGTCAATCTAAATCATTTCCCAAAATTCATTCAAACAAACCCTAACAATTTCTGCATAGAGGGCACAAGTGTCTACATATATACAAAATAATAATATGGACGAATTTTATTTTACACCCAAAAGATTTTAAGTTTTTTTTTTATTTTGTACCCTTAAAGATTATTTTTTTTACATTACACCCTTAATGTATCAAAAGTGTTGTAATATGACATTTTGATTAATTTTCTATTAGTTTTTTCGTCAGTGTCAATGAGTTACCTTTTGACGAAAAAAATAACGGAAGTTAACAGAAGAGTCAAATCATTTTAATACTTTTGTTACATTTAGAGTGTAATATAAATAATTTAATCTTTGAAGGCATAAAACAAAAAACTTAAAATCTTGTAGAATTCAAAGTACGAAACGCCCTAATAATATTCACTCAATTTGTTAATGGGGCCAATCACATTTTATACCTCAAAAGATTTAATAATTTTTAATTTTTTTTTGAAAGATTGAAAATTTTATATTGTACTCTCAATTAAATAAAAAGATAGTAATGTAGTATGCTTTGAATAAAATTGGTACAATTTTTTTTATGCAAAATACTTAAAATTGAGCAGTATTATACAAAAAAATGTACATAAAAATTGCAGTCAAAAAATGTTGGATATTGTTACTTTTTTTTTTTTAATCCGATTGATGGTGCAATTTAAAAATTTTAACATTTTAAGGCGTAATTAAAAATTAAAATTTTTTCTAAGGTACAAAGTGTCATTCAACATTTTTTTAACAAGGAAGGCGTCTTGAGGTTCAAGTGGAAAATTGCTGGGGCAATTTGGCCACACCAACCAACCCACCAAAGAGGAGCTGTATCCAACGCCAATCATTGACACAAATTCTCATAAAACCAGAAAAGTTCAAGTAAATTATAACAAGAACCATTAAAGAGTTTTTGTCATATGTTTGGAATATTATTTATATGCCAACTGAAGAAAACTTTTTGGCATTACCCATAACTTGGGGTGCAACTCAAATGGGTTAGACGGGTAATCAAATCAGGACATAAATATTTATTTTTTTTCGAATATTTGAACTCGAATTACATAATTCGGGTTAAAATTAGATTCATTGAAGATCCGAGTCTTGACATATACAAGTAGAACCAAAATTTGGGTTGAATTCGAGTTTTACTCGAGATGAACCCAAATTTGATTATTGGTTGCACAACACAGTCTAGTATTTGGATTCAACCGAGATCCTAATGCAATTACTGCCTGAAATCAAATAAATTTGGAGCAATGATAGTCAGCAGTGATGCTTAACCCTAAATAGTTTGATCAACGGATCGAATTCTGATATGAATTTGATTAATCGGATATGAATTAATATTTTCTATCGATAATTCAATTTGAAATTCGAATTCGACATCTTATATTTCACTGATTTGGATTTGAAATTGAATATGCGTATATTTGATTCAATTCGAATTCTTTTTATATTTTTGTATAAATATTTAAAAAAATTTAATTGAAAGTTAGGTATAATTTGATAAAATTTAGTTAATTAGGTTATTCAGATTGAAACCAATTTTCGGATTGAATTGGGATTGTTATTAGATTCAAATATAGACCACGAAAATAAAATTCGACAAAATTATCGAATTCAAGTTAGATTTTAAAAATCAAATTTGATTTCGAACAGTTAAAATTCAATCCAAATCTGATCCCTTGACACGCCTAATACTAAATGGTAGCAAATGATAGTAATAATTGGTGACAACTTTGGAAACCTCAGGGGTATCAAGGACAATTCAAAGAAAGAATTGGAGGGAGTTAAAAAAGACAAATACTTTACAGCAAGTCGGCAAGATGTCAATCTGTTTGTATCCAATTATGAGTTCCAAACGTGCTGAAGAAGAAGAAGCACAGTGATCCCTTGGCTTATAATGTCCTCTGCCAATTGACTTATAACAATTGCAAGAATATGTTTATCCAAGGACAAAAATGCCCCTGACCCATTTTTTTAATCTATAATGCATTATTGTCCCAAATCTTTCTTTTGATTCTTAGCACTTGCCTCTGATCTGGGAGATGTGGACATGGCACCTCCATCCATTTGTCCACTTTTATTTCACTGTATCCATCAGACCTGTTTAGTAAATGGATCTACATGAACCCGATTACAATAACAGACTGGATAAATATCTATTCTTTACCATTTTCGCACAAAGTGATTACTCTCGTGTTCTTACTAGTCTAAAACTTATATGGCAAAAGTAAGTAGTTATAGTGATGCAGGGTAGTGTGGGTAAGAAACAAGATTGAACAACAAAAACTTTAATATGTTGATTATTGTAATAATATCAAATTAAAAGTCGTTAAGAGAACTCGTCTCTCAGTTTATTTCACAATAATCCAAAGTTGTCGAATTAGTTTTATACATGTTTTAAATACTAAACTCTGCCAATCCTAAATTACTAGGAAATCTCAGCAAAAATACGAAAAGTACTTAAAAAATAGTCTAAACGTCTTTTTTGACGGATTGAAAGGTACATTTTTTAATATTACTTAGATCGTCGAGACTAATCAAAAATAGGGTTTTAATAGATTTTCTGACACTATTAACAAAAATCAGTCCAAATTGGCACCCAATCAACACTATTTTCGACTGTCTTAATCTGTCGTGTGGCTTTGTACTAAACGACATCATATAGGAAGGGTAAAACAGAGAGAAATTTGGAGTTTTTTTGTTTTAGTTTTTCTTAAATGGTAGATCATTCATCATGGTTGTAAATGGATCTCCACAAATACACGAGGATGATTTAACAATGAAAAAAATTAAAGAAAAATGTATTGATGAGGAGAGGGAGAGAAAAAAGTGAAGCAACTCTAAACTAACAAGAAAGGTTAATTATGTAAATAGGAATAGAAAACCAAAGCGCCAAGCTGGAAGTGTGTCTTTTTCTTGGAGTGAAACAAAGAGCAAAGCATGTCGTGCAAGAGAGCTCCTCAAGCCGTGTACATGGGGATCACATAGCCTGTCTTCTGCACGTAATGTTCCAGCCCACATCACATGCTGTCCATGTGAGCCCCCCAAACCCACCCCCCCCCCCCCCAAAAAAAAAAAAACCATGCTGTGACCCGCATACTTCGCCACCACAAACTATATATACCTAAGAGCAACCCACATGGTCATTCAACCGAAATTCCTGAGTGGGCCTGATATATGATATAACTTTAGAATATGACCCCTCACGTACAAATTTTTGGTCTCTGTAGGCCCTTTAACCATAGATGATTAATGATCCTAAAGTCTCGGTCATTCGCCAATGAAATCGTGTCACGTCGGCTTCTGCAGCACATGTCTACTATGTTTGGAAGGTATTATTATCACCGACAAAATCCATATATCAACTAGGTTATTTAAATGTGCAAAAACATAAAAGAGGTTATATTTTTAAGAAAAATAATGTTATTTGAAGTTAATTTACTAATCTAATTTGTTGAGTTAATCAATCACTATTATTGAATTGATAATTGAACTCACCATTGATCGGAACGGCTTCCAATCCAAGTATTGTGATGACCCAGAATTTTGATTCCCTCAAAGTAGGGAGGTCAAGCAATGGTACATCATCAGTCTCTGTTTTTTGTTTATTTTCTGTTTTGTTGAACGTCGGTGTTCCTTCAATAAAGCCCAACAATTTGATGTGTTTAATATTTTGGTCACATCACAGAAGCCAAAGTGCACTACAATGACAATTTTTCCAAGCAAAGATATCATAGTTGTGGAAAGAAATCATAGTGGTGGCCCTGCCTGAATCTAGAGGTTTGTCCAATGTCACCGACACACCACTCGAATATAATGTGTCTATTAAAAACCAAGCTATCTTGTTTGTAGATCGTGTAATTGTGTCACAACAATTTGTTCCAACTTATACCCAACTCAATTATAAGCATGTAAAGTCGTATTCATGTTGTCCTTAAATCGTGCTGTGAGTGTACTATTTCAGCCACGATTGTATCATATTTAACCTATATATAGCAAAGTTTGTGTCCGTATTCACCCAAATTAATGTCAAGTCATTTATTTGAAAAGTTTGACGGGTCCATCATTTTCGCTAAAGATTAAACTCAACTCCGCTAACTCAGAATTTATTTTGTATCAGGTTCACCAACTGTATTTAGAATTACCAAACCTTTTGAAACCTATCAAGTCACTCTTCCTCATCAAACCAACCCCTATCCTCATGTTTTCTCCCTAATCAAACCAACCCCTATCCCCTTGTTTTCTCCAGCTGGTTGCTTAACCTAACCAAGACCCCCCAAAACAGGTCAAGATTATCAGATTTGAATTTGGCTGCTGCAACTGTAATTCACTACTTTGTTTTGGTTATGAAACCCTAACAAGCCTATTACCATTGCATCCATTGAGAAGGTGTAGAAACCCATCTCTTGGCATGTCTATAAAGACTTGGAGAAACTAATGTAAACAATCCATCAAGAAGGGCTAACAGATACAGAATATAACAAATAAAAAGTGAATTGAGTGATAACCATACAGGCAACAAACTCTTAAGGAATTTGGAAACAAGGAAAAAAGAAAAGGGAGAGGGCACTTAAATTGAAACAGATCAATAGTGTGATTCACAAATAACCGAGGCTTTCGCCTTTGTAATTTACCTCAGCTAGTCTAGTCCATAATAAATTCCACAAATATGACAATGGAAGTCAAAGAAAATTTGAATTTATCACTCTACTGAATCATACCACTTCTGCCATAATGATAAACATGTGAGCTTCTATGGGTTGGTCCAAAAGCTACAAAGATAGCTCAAAAACTTTTCAAATAAGCCTTAAACAGAGGAAAGTGGGTATGGGTTCATTCACATGAGGAAATAAAATATGAACCTTCATGGAGCAACAGGCACATGGAAGTTGAGATCCCAAAGAGAATCCAGATTTCATCCTCAGGGCCATCATTATTAACCATGGTAACTTGAGCACTCAATATTTACCGTAAAAAGACAATGAAAGGTCATTTAAGAAGTTCTTGAACAGTGAACAACCAGTTTAGATATTCACGACCAAGAAATACTGGATTCTCTTTCGGGTAGGCCCTGAAAGGCGAAGGAAGGCTGGAATGCCAACAGGCGTCTATTATTGAATTCACCCGACCCGATAGTACCCATTTTGGGAACGTCAACCCACACGGGCGAGAACTCCCCATGCATTGCACTTGGTTGATAAGGTCCTTGTATGTTGAAAAGGAATGAGTCCTCAAAAGCTTTCCTGAAGTTGGTTGAGAAGCGTTTCAGCTCCCTCCTCATCATCACCACCACCACCATCATCATCATCAGGTCTGCCTTTCTCTGTTGACAGTGCATTGCCAGCAGCCATTCCATTAGATAAGGGTATATATGACATATACGCTTCATCCACAAGACAACCAAGTTGCCTTAACATCCCCAATAAAACCTCCTTGTTCACCGTATCAGCTTCTTGCTCGCAGAGCTTGAGAATTGAAGACACATTTACAGGCTTTGGTTTCCAGTTCTTTGATCCCTCGGCTGAAATGGCCTCCTTTAAGCAAGACAAAGCCAGAGAAATCCTCCTATCACTGATATGTATTTCTGATAGTATCTCCCATGAGCTTGAATTTGGCTTTGCTCCCAATTCACCCATTTGTTCAAAGAAAGCCTTTGCTTTCTCCGAAAATCCCTTTCTAACATACCAACCCAGTAGAAGATTTCCTATTCTAGAGTCATATGCAGTCTTAACTGACAGCCATTCTTCATAAATCTTTTCTGCGCCTTCAATATCACCCAGCCTAACCAACGAAGAGATTACAGCATGGTAACCCAAATTTGGAATATATGGAAACTTTGATTTGTAAATATTCCACACCCGGTGAACCTCCTCCTTGTTACCCACACCACCATAATTACTAATAAGATAATGATAAGGAATTCGATCCCAGGCCATGATCCTACTCTCAACCTTCTTTAAACAGTCTTCTGCTTTTTGTAACTGACCCAGCTTAATGTACATTGTAGCCATTGTGCTGAACGTACTCCAATTGGGGTTAATGTTCCTGTCCAGCTTCATCTGTTCAAATACTTGTTCCATCTTTTCTGCAGATCCTTGGGATCCACGAGATGATAACCAGATATTGTAGGAATATATGTCTAATGGTATATTTTTCTCCATCATCTCCCAAACTGTTGCATCGACTTTGTCATAATCTTTAAGGTTCATGTAAAGAGTCATCATCACATTGAATGGAAGGGCATGGCTGGCATAACATCTATTTCTCATTTGATCAAACAGAGATTCAGCCTTTTCTCTCATTCTAGCACGCACATAGGCATTCAAAAGAGACCCATATATCCTTTTGTCCTTTAAGGTATCTGGCAACTTCAGGAAGTACTTTTCAGCACTTCGAATTCCATGCACTTTGGAAATTAGATCTAACTGAATTGCAGCATCACTAGTGGACATCCGGAACTTCTCTCCCCTGTTGTTCATCCACTCATACACCTGCAGAATGTGTGAAAAGCTTATAGTTCTTCACCTGGGATGAAAAGGTAAATAATGGTAACAAACAACCCCAGCATAAAATTTAAACTCTTCTACCAACCGGCTGAGTTATACAGTGGTAACAAGAACAGAAAATAGAACCACCACAAGTCTCCAAGCACCCAATTGCCAGAGTTATTTCATGCTCCACTAGTCATAGCATGGAAATATTTTCCATTGGCAGTCTAGTTCGTAATTGATCTAGTTTTGAGCTCTCATTTAATCAAGAGGTTCTAGATTGCAAAAACAATTCAGCATTTACACTTTACAAACAGTCAAACACTAAGACAACTAAATTAATCAAATCAATCCTAACTACCAGGTGAACATTCAACTACTAGATTACAATGGTAGATAGTAAACAGAGAGAATTTTTGTTTAAGCAACTTAAAAGTCTTAAATATCTGATGTAACATTATCAGCAGAATTCTTTATTAGCCAAATCACAATAATGACAGCTGTCAAATAGAAAATATCAGAATCAAGGCATAATTGTCACCATTTTTTCCCAAACAAATAAGGCCAAGAAACTTATAAAATGATTGAGAGTGTGAGTTTTCTACAAAAAAAAAAAAAAGAAAGAAAGAAATTTTAGAAATGATTAAATACAAGGGACAAATACTGCTTGCTGAACTTCCAGCATCCTTGCTGCCCTTATTCCCCACACATAATAATCATGCTATAAAATCAGGAAAGTGATTTTGGGTCTGCTCCTTATTCTTAGATGGACGATCCTTAACAAGATGGTTGCACAAAGTGATCTTCTTGAAGCCACGCGAGTCTTACTGCAACTCATTTCAGAAAATTATTCATTTATTGTGAAAAATTATGGGGCTTTGCCAAAAAACACATGCTCTAGGCACTGTTTCCTTAAATATAATTGGCACCAAGCACATTAACAATGATGCTGAATTTTTTTTATTAAAATCAAAAACAAAAACTGAAAGCACATTTTGATGAAGATGTTCAAAAGTAGTATGTATGTCTTAATATCTCAATAATCCACTTAAAAACATGCATACATGTATTAATTCATGTGGGACTATATTTTGGCGGAAGATAGCAAACCAGTGGGGAAAAAGTAAAATTTTTGACAATGCAAAAATGCACAAAACAACATTTTTAGTTTGGTATACATGGATTCAGAATTTATCCCCCAACCATTAATTTAATTAGAACTTGGAAGAAATTACCAAAACCCAGGAAGTAAAGGGTAACCACAACGGGAAAAAAAAAATCCAAATTACTTTCAACGGTAATGCTGTCAGGAACAGAAACAAAATATACATAAAAACCATGAATTGGTTACCTGAACATGCAAGCATCAAATTTTGGGGGTCACCAGCAAGATAATGCCCATACAAGTTTCTTCGACAGGGTGATCATCATGACCAAAAAATTAAAGGACATGAGTTCATAATCCTATCAATTCATAAAATTCTACCACAATACCAAATAGTGAAAACCCCCAAATGACAAATACACACAAAAGATCTAATAAGCACTAATAGGGGCTTTGCTTCATAATCCACATTGTACTTATTATGATCAAATTCTCATATAATTCAGAAAACTATCGAACATACCCACCAATTCAAACAAACCCAACAAAAATTTCCAAACACCCGTCAAAGAAAACCCAAATAAAGACTTCAATAAAATGAGTAATTCCTCCAGAGCAAGCTTGAAATGCTTTATCTTTCTCAAAAAATATGAAATTAGCACAAAAAATCAGTTTCAATTCAAGAGCGACATTGTACATACACACAAAATTGAGAAAACTACTAAATAAATCCACAAATTCAGATAGAATCCACGAAAAATACCACATTCCCATCAATAAAAACACAACAAAGACACCAAACAAACACTCATAATTTAATTCCTATACCTCAAGAGCAGACTTGTAACGCCTGAACTTTCTCAACTCCTTAACAACCCTACAAAGCTCCCATTTTGCGAGCTGCTTTCCCTCATTCTCACACTGATTCAACACACTCGCAGAACCCAATTCAGGTTTCTCCATGAGCGATATTCTCTTGTATAAAGCGTTCCATTTCAACATTGACTTCCTTTCATAGTACACTTTTCCATAACTGTGAACCTGTGATGTAGAACACGTAATAACTTGACTTCTGTGGCTTGAAACGAGTCGAAGAACTGACGAATTGGAAACTCCATATGGGAATGTGAGAGAGTAGGAAAGAGTTGATGAGAGAGAGACATGGTGCGGATTGCGATCGTGAAGTTGAGGTCTTGAGGTGGTGGGTTGGTGGAGTAGCATTTTGTTGTTCTAGGTTTTTGGAGGAAGTGTACCTTCAAGCCTCAGCTGTGATACTGGTACGTTACCGAAAAATTATGCAATAAATTACACTAAGACCTCTTAAAGTTTATCACAGAATCGCACATACCCCGCATGATTTTTCGGAGAATTCCAAGAGAAGGATTTTGCTAGGCCAATGTTACAAAAAGCTCGGGCATGTTTAATTTTGTTCCAAAAAATTATTTTTTATTCTTAAAATTTTAAAAACACTTTAAACTTGTTTACTTAACATTTTTGTTCTCAAATTTTTGAAAAAAATAAAAGATTTAGAGTAGAAAAACAAAAAATAAGTCTGGCTTATTTCTGATACGTTTCTTAAGCACGAAATATATATGCAATGTTTATTACTGTTTATTTTTTGACCAAGTAAAAAAGGTGCTTTTTTTTTTCCCTTCCCCGTCATTTGCCCAGAGTTGGTCAGCCCTCTTCTTCACTTACTCCAGCGAAGCACAAGAGCCCTCTTCTTCTTCACTTCTCTGTTCTCTGTCTGTGTGCTCAGATTGACGGTGCTTTTGTGGGTTTTGACGATGGTTGTGAGTTTTAGTGATCGTGAGTTTTTTTGGACGTGGATTTTGGGTGATCATGAGTTTTGGTGGTTGTGAGTTTTGATGGTGGTTGTTGGTGTCGGTGGTTGTGAGTTTTAGTGGTGGTTGTGAGTGTTAGTGTTTTGTTGGTTTTGGTGGTGTTTTGTGCTTTGTGGGTCTTGATGTATCGTGAGAGAGAGAGTTGAGGGGAAAGGTGGAAATCGTGAATTATTGTCTAAATAAATTTTATAATTTTTGTTCTTTAAAATTATTTTTAAAAATATATAACTAAACAAGTTTTATGATTTAAAAATTTTTAAAAACACTATTTTAAAATTATTTTCAAAAATAATTTTTAGATAATATTTTTTAAGTTACAAACCAAATAGGCCTTCACATCCCCAAATTTCCATTTAAAATAGTCTCATGGGTTCTATTTTATTATTATAAAAAAATTTTATGGTTTTTTATTGTTACCTTCTTGCTAGATCACCAATAAATTTGTATGTATAACGTTGAGTACAGGGCAGTCTACGTTGACATAGTAATAAGATTGATGTATTATAATTCGAACTTTATGTGTTGGATGTTATGTATTTGAGTCATTTAAATAATTTATTTATATACAGATCGAATAGGGCTGTATATATGGGATATTCCTTAAATCTTGTAATAATAGAAGTCTCATGCAAAGCCCATGATAAAATTAAATCCTTTTTAAGGTCCTAATAAATTTAATGATTGAGACTATTTTCATAGTTGCAGTCACCAAATTTTTATGTAATTCATCAAACAAAGTAAACTGAAATGAAAATGAATTCTTTATGGTCTGTCAATATACAATACAATCAGTCAATCAAAATTTGAGAACTACACAAATACAAAATCAATGTTGAAGATATCCAATAAATTAGTGCATTTTTTAAACTTTGATTGGTTACCTATAAACATTTGATTTATAGGCTTGCTTGTAAAGTATTTATTCTCAACTCAAATACTAAAATTGCTACGCTGATAAATAGCTGCTACACAGAAATAGCAATTACACTGGAGGGTGGATTTGGAACAAACATAGATGTCATGAGTTAGAGTCACGATTTTTAGACTCTGCACACGAAAAAAGACTACTTAAATTTAATCCTCCTAAAAAAAAAAAACCTTTGCAATGATAGAAACATTGTGTATTCGATTACATATGTCTTGTCTTTTCACATGGAAAATGCTGATGCCTTTTTTTTGGCAATAGGGAAACAACTAAGCCACAATCATATGCATGCAATTTTTACAAATCACGCACATTGGTTAAACATTTTTATGCGCCTAGTAGACTCGAACACAAAACGAGCAAATATAGGCCTTGTCTCCTATTTGACGGTAGAACTAACCTGTATGGATAAAAAAGCTTGTGTCTTGTCTGTGCAGTTCGCAACTTATTTGATCTTTTAAAGCACATTCACATTCTGAATCCCATTGGGATGTCTCGGTTTGCAGCAAATCCTTCTTTTTTTGTTTGGTATATAAAATAGATGTGGAGATAGATCACCACTTTAGATATTGGTCGGGTTGTTTTATCCTTTAACACCACACAACTATTTGCAAAAGACCCTATCACACCTATGCCGGGGCCTAAACTAAGATTTTACCGTATATTCTAGATGCTGAAGAGTAGATTTAGTTATACCTAGTTACCATAGAAACTCAAACCCAAGTATTGAGCGAGAAAATTCAAATTCTTACAAAACAACCGTTCGGTTGTATGTTTGCAGCAAAGCAAAGATAGCCAAACTGATATGATCAAGAAAACTACTACAATATCTAATGAGTCATAAGAATCAAGTCGGCCATATTGGTCATACAACTTCCTTAACACAACTGATGCATCTGCCACTATATGACTATAAACCCTCAAATTCTGGTCACAGAAGATATGGTGGACAAAGGTTGCCTCTCAAAATCGCAAACGTCAGCCGGCATTCGAAGTTCAAAGATCAACACTATCAGTTCACAGGATGACTAACCCCTTCCCAGAACTCACATTGGCGGGGTCTCGTGTTTTGAGCTGCACTATTCTCTTCTTCTTTTATGTATTTCTTCCCTTTTTTACTCTATCTCTTAAACATTGGTTATGCATCAACAAATTAACAGGACTGTGGAAATGGGACCATGGGCATTCATAGCATGAAATGCTTGAAAAACATCATGAAAATCTCATTATAATTGCTCCATTTTCAAAGCTTTGCATTGGCCTAAAGTGTCCTGAATAGCCCTTATAACAATGGAAGGGCATTTTCCCCCAAAATTGTTGAAAGACAACATAAAGTGTTCCATTTATTTTTTTTTATTTTTCAACTAACGTACAGAAAAGTTGGAAAAAAATTACCTTATAACCGTTCAAGTCATAATCCGATCCACCCATTACTAAATTTATTGACATGTTGCATACTTACCCATGATAATACTCGACACAGAGACGACTTAATCAGCCTCTTGAGTCCATCATTGATCTATTCCATCTACCAGGGACCAAAAGAAGATTCTGATTAGCAGGATGGAGGAAAAGGAAACGAAGAAGAAGATAATTTCACATAAAATTCAATTCTTGTTCTTACATATATGGCAGGTTTTAAGTTCTTTTTGTCATAATGAATTATGAATAGATGCTAACAAACCATGGAAACACACCAAATTGGAGACTTGTCATTCTCAGCAGCTTTATCGTAGACCAGTGGAACCAATTCTCCAGCAGCACAAACCTCCTCGTTCACAAAAAACTGCATGAACCAAAACAATAGGTATTGTTGCAGCTAGAGTCACAAACAGATGAATAGCAGCACCAGTCAAGATCAGATCAACCGCCGTGAGGGCGGTCATCAAGGATAAATCGAATCGCTTGTCAATAATCCGATGAAGCACGATAGAATCGGGCAAGTGCACGTAGCAGCTGCAAGTACAGAGACTGTCATCACAACCAAGAGGACTAACGAAAGTTTCCGCTTTGGCATGAGGGTGATGAAGAGTATCACCCAGATAAACATTGTGTAGTACAATCTGAAATAGCCCAAGTTTCGGATGATTCGAACAGCAGCGGCCTCCGGTGTGAGGGGGATGTTGAAAGGGAAGATGAGGTTGAAGTTGGTTTGGGTTTTAGCCTTGAAAGTCTTCGGTTTGTGGGGTTGCAGCAGCTGTAGAAGTGGTGGTTGATGGCCTGTGTATGGCTCCATAATTGGCCATGGCTCAGTTAAGAGGTATGGATTGGAAGAGGAAGAGGAAGTGGAAACTGTTTTTCTTCTCCAAGGGGCTATTGTACCATGTATGATTAATCCAAAGTCTATTAGTCAACTCTCCTCGGACTTATGCCCCATTTTGCTTTCAAGGAAATTTTTTTTTTTTTTTTTTAACTCGGAAAATTATGCCAAGACTGCTTAGACTCTCTAAAATTTATAAATGTGTAACACTTAGACCTCTCAAATTTAAAATATTACACTTTAATCCATTATTAGTTATGGAACTTATAGAATTAATTAAATGATCAAATTACCCCAATTAAAGATAGAAGATATGGGGTCTATTATAACTTGACCTTGTTTTATTTTTTAATTTTATTCTAATAGACAATATAATTATATGCAAATGAATGTTTAATTGAGTTTCTCGAAAATGATTCAATTATTAGTATTTAAATATATGAGAGGGTGATAAGTGAAAAATGATATATGTATGGTACGGATAATTATGAAAAATTATATTTTTTTTATATTTGTTAAGGGACAAGACTTAACATGGGGTATCGGTGTAATTTCAAAAAATTAAGGGGGTGTTTTTGTAATTAAACCAATCTACATGAGTGACAGTGTAATTTTTCCTAAAATTTATTGTGACTGAAGAGTTTTATCATAATTGATTTAAAAAAATTATATATATGATTATTTTTTTTCCTTAAAAATGAAAGCGATTAATTTTTCGATGAAAAATAATATATTATATATATAGATGAGTTATATTAGAAAGATGGAGTTTTTGAAATTTTTTTCAAATAATTTATTGAAAATATAATGATGCATATTTTTTTAAAAGTAATATAGTTAATCAAAAAAATAAATATGTATACATAAAGAATAAGTAATTAAAAGAGATGTTATAGTTATTTTGGAGATTTAAATATATAAGGATATGATAATAATTTAGATATTTAATTGTAAAATGATAGAGTGGTCTTTACGATCTTTTATAAGGGTAAAATAGATATTTAAAATTTTTTCATCTAAGATACTTTTATTAGTAGTATAGATTAATGACATAACTGAACATGGATTTTGGTTTATAAAATTTAAAATATATAATATTCTATTTTTAGTTCAATTTGTTGATACATACAGATCTACTCAAAATGATTAATCCAACTTAAGAGAGTGGAAGTCATCTGTTTATCTATCAAAAACGTTGAAAGGATCGATTTGAAAGGTTGCAGAAAGTTGAGAGGGTTCTAGGTCCCTCAACTTTTAAAAATTTTATTTTCACCCTAAAAATATTCTAGCTGATTTATATATAGGTATATTTGATGGCAAATTAATATGAATAAATAATATCTTTTATTATTACAAGTTTATTTCAGAAGTCAGAGAAGAAAAGATTTGTTTTCTATTGTCTGTATCTTATAACATATTTATACACATAATCAAAGAGACAAATATTTTTATGTAATTTTAATATTCATTTGCAAAATTAAATAAATGTATTGACTATTTGATTCACTCGTGGTTAGCTGCTAGCAATGACTGTGAGTTGTTGGATGCTGAAAGTGGTAATGTGAAAGGAAGTTCAAAAGTATTTATGGAGAGATAACTTGAAATAAATTATGGAGAGATAACAGGAATATTTAGAGTTTGTTTGGATTGCGTTTTAAAAAATAATATCCGAAAATAATTTTTGAGAAGAATTTTAAGAAAGTGTATTTTGATTTTTTTGAGATGAAAAACTTGTTTTATTAGATGATTTCAAAAATAATTTTACAGTATAGAAAATAGTAAAACCTGTTTGGACAACATAAATATATGTTTGAACAGTAGAAAGTTATTTTTAGATTGATAATTTCATAAAAAAAAAATTCAATAAATCAAACTTTAAAATAAACCAAACATATTTAATAATCTTCATCAAAAATAAAATTAATATAAAAAAAATACATCAACGACCTTCATCTAAAATAAAACCAACCAGATTTAATAAAAAAAATTTACAAACACCAATAATTTTATTTTCAAAAAAGACAAAAACAAATAATACCGAAGAACACTCACACCATCACACAATATATATATATATATATATATATATATATATATATATATATATATATATATATATATATATATAACTCGTGTCTGAAGATACAATAAAATATAAAATTCGAGTGTTCAAAAAATCAATTATATTATATTAATTTTTTTCAAAATATATTAACTACGAATTAATCAAATATTAAACAATTCAATATATGATAAAAATGAGTGATGTGATATTTTTAGGGAATAAATATAAAAATGATTAAACATATGATAAAAATAAGTGATGCAATTTGACGTTTGAGTGTGACAAAGAGATGATGTGTAAGGTAAATGATTGGTGATGATTTTAAGAGGAAAATATGATTGGAATAAAATTTGAACACATTCCTGTTTTATTATATAGATATATAGATTAAGTGTTTGATAGGTGTGTTGTGTATTGTGTAACTGTGTGTGTATATATATATATATTGCGCGTGTGATGGGTGTGTTTCTTGGGCGATCTGCGTGTGTTGTGTTAGTGTATGTGTGTGTGTGTGTATATATATACACACACGAACACACACATAGTCACACAATAACACATATTCAAACCATGGGTTGAAGGAGATCAACCCAAGTCTGAACCGACACTGGAATCGACGTTGAAGTCGACATCGGAGCAAACTCAGATCTAAACCCAGATGTGGAGTGTGTGTTTTCCTTTCATCTGGTTTTCGCCAGAGTATGGAGAGAGAAAGACAAGAGAGAGAGAGCCAAAAAAAACTGAGAAAGGCAATAATTTTTTTTTTTTTTTTATAGTTGGACATGTTTTGCTACTAAGAAGGTTTGAAAGAAAAAACCTCATTAATGAAAAAGGGTTGTTCTCCGTGTTCTGGTGCTTCCCTTATTTTGTCTACAAAACACATAAAACAATCCTAGTTTGTTTTCTATTTTTTGTTTTTTACATCAATCTTTTTTCAAAAATTATAGAACAAAAATCCAAACCTAACAAATTTCTCTTGTTTTTTAGAAATTTGAGATCAAAAAATTATTTTCAAAATTCAAACAAAACATGTCCTTAAGTTTTAAAAGGTTGAAAACGTAATTAATGAGGAGGAAAGTATAATGAGCAATTGAATAATAAGAGGAGGAAAGTACAATTACTTAACGTCGTGCTCATCACTATGTAGTGAGACCTAGTGAAACATTTAACTGAATTACTATGCATATTACTATGCCGTGTGGTCCTCGCATAGAAATCGTCGAGACTTAAATTTCATAAAGATCCCTTTAGAATACACATATTATATATTTGCTGAAATTACACAATGACCCCAAAAACTAATAAATACTCTCAAATGGTAAATAAATGTGCCTAATGGTTACGAAATATTTTTGAAATTTTATACTAACCCTAAAACACTATTAGGTATTTTTTAGAAATTATAATTCAACCCCCAATTGCTAAATTACATACCACGAGAAATGAAACAATATCACATAGCACCAAAAATGGAATAATAAAGAAGCATGAAAAGTGTTTGCCGAATAAATCCTCTGAGAATAATGAAGGTAGTTGTTAGAGGTGCAAAATGAAAGGGGAGTAGTCAAGTACATACCATACGCCGAAACATTTGATAGATATTTATAAAAAAATTCATCAAATTTTTTCCATCTGGATGTTTCTAATTTTTGGAAATGAAATGAAAAAATATATATATATAAATTAAAGAATATTAATGGGCTTGCGTCTGTTAGTTTTGCCTATGCGTGTTTTTTGTATGTTCTTAATGTAATAGTTTGAATATATCTATGTCTATATGTGACACCCATCATGCACGCATTACAATTAAGAAACCAAAATAAATATTGTAGGATCGAAAAGTAATTTTCGCCTTCATGACTTTTGGAGTCGATTATTTAATTACATAAATAGGGGAGTTATATGTATGTTGTTAGTAAAAGTTTTGGGGTGAAAAATTATAATGTCAGAAACTTGGACGAAATTAAGAAAAATAAAATAATAATATTGTTGCATTGTAATGTTATATTATATTAATAGATTGGAGGTGTATGTCCTAGCCTTGCTAACACTTTTACGTGTGTTCTAAAACCTTCCAAGCCTTGCTAGGCTTCTTCTTATACCCATTTGTTTTTAAATATTAAAAAGAAATTAGACTATCTACGTTTTTTTCCTTCATTCTCTTTAAACCCTTTTGAATTGGGAGTTTTCACAAGGAAGCCAAAAGCTTGTCCTTAGGGCTATTTGGTAAAAAGGTACCGAGTTGTCGAGAGGGTTTCAGAAAAATAGTTTAAAAGACCTCCAAACTTTATAGTTGGATTGAAAATTCAATTATGGGTTTTTAAATCCAGCCCGTAGCTGGCCGAAAATTAAACTATGATCATGAGTTTCGTCAAACTTAGGGGAGGAGTGAGTTTGAGAAGATGGGTTAAGGGATTAAAGATGAAAAAGATAATTATACCCCTTAATATGGATATAAATGAAATTGATCAAAGGTAAAATAATCTTTTTATAAAACAAATAATTGTTAATAATTATGATACATCGGTCGTTCTGCATGCGTATGTATTGCATACCAAACATAAGTATGGACCGAATTCAATGTTAAATCTCATCTTTGTAAATAGATGTTTGAGTTTGAAAAGGTTTGAGTAAATCAATCTAAATCTTCGTCAAAAATTCATCCAACCAAACCCTACTAATGTTGACGTAACTTTTAGCTGGTAAGAAAATTATTTTTATAGACGTAGATTTTTTGTTTGGAGTGTTGGTGAAGCTTTAGGAAGTTATCAAATCCAGTTCGGTCTAAACGAAGTTAAAGAAATAGGCTTAAGAGTTGTGCTATTATTATAACGAGTTAGTTTTTAATTCAAATAACCTAAAATTGGGGTTTATTTATGTTAAGAAGTGCACTAGATTACAGATTATCCAATTAAGTGGATGCAAGTCTTGGTTGACCATTGGAGTTGGTCTAAATGAGATTGAGAAGGGTTAACTAGGGAAGGTACAAGCTGAAATTCTCTTCGTTTGTAGTAGATAGAGTAGACAATTTTTGTGAAAAATATGCATAATTTTCAGTAGAAAATTCGGATAAATGCACCGTTTGTTGTGTTGAAAACTCGTTGTGACGGATCTCGTGTTTTGAGCTGCAGTTTTTGCTCTTCTTTCTTATGCATTTCTTCTCTTTTTTCCTCTACCTTTTAAACATTGGTTATGCACAACAAAACAAAAAAAAAAACATCATGAAAATCTCATTATAATTGCTCCCCCCACCGGCTCCGATAGACAGCTGATCTACGACCAGCCTTTGCATCTTTGCATTGGCCTAAAGTGTCCTCAATAGCTCTTATAACCATGGAAGGGCATTTTCCCCCAAACTTCTGGGTATAATAACGGAAAATTGTTGAAAGACAACATAAAGCTAGTGTTCCTTTTCTTCCTTTCTTTTTTCAACTAACATAAAGTAAAATTGGACAAAAACTGAATGTTATAACCGATCAGGTCATAACCGGATCGACCCATTTGACTTATTTAATAAATTTATTGACATATTGCACACATAAGCATGGACCTAATAATACTTACCCAAACACGACTCAATCAGCCTGCGTTGTAGACCATGGAATCAAACCAAATCGGATGACTTGTCCTTCTCAGAAACTCCATTGTAGACCAGTGGAACCAACTCTCCAGCAGCACTAGCCTCCTCGTTCACAAACAGATCCTCTCGTACCCTAAAAATTGCATGAACCAAAACAATAGGTATTGTTGCAGCTAGAGTCACAAACAAATGAATAGCAGCCCGAGTCAAAATCAACTCAACCGCGGTGATGACAACCAGCAAGAATAAAACGAATCTTTTATCAATGATCCGATGAAGCACGACAGAATCGGGCAGTGCACGTAGCAGGAGCAAGTACAGACAGGCCACAATTGTCATCGCCACCAAAAGGATTAACGAGAGCTTCCGCTTTGGTACAAGGGTGATGAAGAGAATCACCCAGATAAACAGCGCGTAGTACAATCCGAAATAGCCCAAGTTTCGGATGATTCGAACGGCAGCTGCCTCCGGCGTGAGGGGTATGTTGAAAGGGCAGATGATCTTGAAGTCGGTCCGGGTTTTAGCCTTGGAGTTGTCTGTTTGTGGGGCGGAAGCAGGTTCAGAAGTGGTGGTTGATGGCCTGTGTATGGTTCCATAACTGGCCATGGCTCAGTTAGATGTATGAATTGCAAGAGGAAGAGAAGAGGAAGAGGATGAGGAAGACGAAGACGAAGACGAAACTCTTTTTCTCCAAGAGAGTATTGAACCATATATCGACTTTTCCAAAGTCTTCTTCAAGTTATCCTTGGACTTATTCTCCATTTTGCTTTTGACAGAAAAGAATTGAAGAAGAAATATATCCAGAGAAATTACACTTTAACCCCTTAACTGAAACCCTGGTTTCATATTTATCCCTCAATTATCACGTTTATCGCAAATCTCAAGTACAACTTCGATTAAAAATGTGACTTTTTTCTCTCGAACTATATGAATTTGTTTCATTTTGATCCAAAATATATAAAGCACATTGGTATTTTACATCAAAATTATTGAGCATTTTGTATTGGTTATCGCAAAATCAATTGAAGTAACTAAGGGGACAAAAACAGAAGAGGGAGTAAAGTGAGATCGGGACTACAATTTAAGAGTACAAAATGTAATTTACCCAAAATTATAATTTCATAGCATGCAGTTTTGGCCATGGCAAACAAAGGGTGCTAGCAGTATTTGGTCATCTCTTGGACCAGGTCAATTCCACTTTATATGAGGCTTCAAAGAAGTTGCTCTGTGACCAAAAAACATTAACAAAGAAAAATGCAAAGTTGAACAAATGAGATGACTCTACCAGTAAACCCCCCACAAATTGTACTTACTCTGTGGACGTTTTAACCAAGTGATAAATATAAACCAAAAACATGTTAAGAGTAAGCAGATAATCTATATGTAACTTTCAATCAAACTAAAAGTTACAAAAATCTGTAATATTCAAGGAAAGGATGTTCTCCAGATAACCTTTTATCACACCAATTCAAGGCCATCAAGTTTGAATCGAATGATCTGTGAAAAATGACTTGCATCTTGTTGAAAAATTTTATATGCACTTGAAGTTTGATTCATATGCTGAAAGGATTATGAATCTCACATATGAAAACCCGAGTGTCCTTGCTCACGAATGGCAATGATTGTCATAAAATTTACAGCAACGTAAGTATTAGTAGCCATTCAAGACAGGCTGCGGTTATGAAGTGTACAGGTTACCTGCCAAAAATCCACACATTTAGATAATAAATTGATTAGCTCTATACACAATTCATTGACCGCTTCAATTTCGACTAGAATATCTTACATTTTACACTTTCCGATAAGAGATCATCGGTCATTGCTCATGAGCAACCTGGCCAACTTCTGTGCATAACTTCCTTGTTTCTGACATTTCCATGAATAAATACTTTGGCTTCATTGACCTGTGATCAATAAAAAAAGTAAATGTTTGGTTGCAACTATATATTGTGGAGATTACCAAAATGAGATTGATGCAAAATCCCATACCAGTGAAATGGGTGGAAAAGCCTTTCGAAGATGAATCCTAGAGAAACCATTTACGGTAAATAAACACTTGAACCCATGGATGTTGGCATGCTCACTGTCATATGAACAAACAAAAAGGGCAGTATCATTTTGGAGGGAAAAAAATAGGTAATGGTTCCTGATTTGTTTCCCACGATGAAAAATACAGAACAAGGGCCATCTTTTCTAGACTTGAATTGAGTTTTTACAGTGATAGATAATCCAATAAGTGCATCATCTAGCACGCTGTAAGTAATCTCAATCAACTTTGTGTATCCCTTCCGTGGCAAAATCTAAAAGTCTCAATTTATGTGTGATGCCGCTGACTGCATAACAATAACTTTTATTATTAAAGGGTTCTGAACCAATATTAGAGTTGGGGCCTTAAGATGAGGGATTTGGTGGAGGGGTTGACTGGGAGATGCAAAATTTTGTTGCTGCAATAAGAACTTCTGTGACATGCTTTGGCTCACATGGCATTGCAAAAAGAGTGTTAAAGACAATTGGGAACTCACTTCAGAAGATAAGTGAAATTTCTCTTTTGAAATTCATCCACATGTATCTCCTCTTCTTTAGAATATCTGAATCACAAAAAGTAAGATTAAAATTGAAAAACAAACATTGGAAAGGATAGACAGTTACTGAAATGTATAAAACATAAAAGAAGAATCGCTGAATTACAAAACGTGCCAAGTTCTGGACAAAACATAATCGAACTTCACTGGATCACAGAGAAATTTGTTCTGTGAATATCCATTTTAAAAGAACTAAAAAAAAATGGATAATATCAGAATAGCCCAGCCAAAAGAAAAGAAAAATGTATCTTCAGTATATGATATCCCATAATGATGTAACCTAGCTCTAACAGGTTCTGTCAATAATATATATATATACACACTGAGAGAGAAAGAGAGGGGGGGGGGGGGGGGGGGAGGGAGGGAAGGAAAGATCAATCTCAAAGTTCTTCCAAATAGTTTCTTCAATCTCAAACCGCCACTCCAGGTTTTCACCAATGCAGTCTATGTATAGGCTTCATTAAGCATAAAAAGCGTAATACCGTCCAAAAGAAATTAGGCAAAATAAATTAAATTCCTTCCACCCCCATAACTTTTAGAAGTAAGAAAATACAGAAAGAATTTACATCCAGTTTAATCTTTCAATCCAGTTTTGCTGGCCCACAGCAAAACCATCACCAAAGTTACATAGCTTTAGTATGGGGTTTAATATGAGTCTTGATCAAATTATTTGCCGTAAGCAGGCATCAAACAACAGTTTGTTTTGGTTGAGGCTCTCATACGCTTTCTTGACTAAAGATCCTCACGATGGATAGTCCTATTTCACTGGGAAGATATTTGCACCAGCTTTCTGACGTCAATAGGTAATAGGCTCTAATATCAAACAATTCATTCAAGAGGTGGCGATAATGAACCATTGTAGCTTTAAAAGATAAGACTAGATAAACAAGAAGAATTGGAAAATGAGAACCAATATGTAGAGTGTTATCACAAAATCTTAAAATGGTAAGTTTGAACTTCAGAAAGGTTAACCAATAGACCAAAAACAAGGGTAATATAGACATCTGGAGTTCTCATGCATGCTTAATTTAATACTGGAGAAAGAAAGGTCTTCAAGGTTCAAACTTCAACCGGCAAAATCTCTCCCTTGTATTCAGATGGTGTCCCCTTTCCATTTCATCACTTACAGCCAGGAAAGAGCCTCAGCAAACAGTCCCCATTAATTTATCCTGGCGAGATGATAATATTAAATATTGATCTAAAGAAACATAAATTGACCTCTTCAGCTTTGTGATGCAGTGGGATGGGACTTGCCAAATGACTTTATCTTGATTGAGAGTCATTGTACATGCATTTGATTTAAAATAAAATGCCACTTATAGGCCTCTCATTGCAACCTAGCTACAAAAAAAAAACACCCGGTGTAGTCCCCAATCATGGGGGTCAGAGAATGTAGATTGGATACAGGCCTAAGCTTCACCATTATTTATACAAAGTGGCCACCCTCAAGTCCGAATCCACAATCATAAGGTTATTAGTCAGGCCAAATATAACCAACCAACTAGTGGCCCCCAGGTGCAATCTAGGAATCAGTGACAAGATATATAATTTGCAAATTCTTACAAATGTCAACCTTCTTCCTCCTCCCACAATAAACACACTTGAAACATTTGTCAACTACAACTTCCAAATGGAAATAGGGACAAGGAGAATGCATAAATGAGTTAACAACCCAGGGAAATATCAGGCCAGAAACAACCAAACTCATCAAGTTTCCTACAAGTAGCTTATTGTGCATGAAACCACCATATAAGTTACCATAATTTAATGTTAAACTCTTCTCAAGATTCAGTGACATGATTTCAGTGAGGTTAATTAATATCAGCATGGTATTTCAGTGAAACTAAGAATCAGTATCAACAATACCTCCATGGTCCACCACTTTCTTGAAAGCGCGAAATTCCATTCATTGCTGAGAAGGGGTCAATATGAACCCACAGTTCATTTGAATAGTTTGCAACATCTCCTGCAATGAAAGTCATGGTAACTTCTCTGGAAAACACAATCCAAATACATGCATGTGTGTGGGCGGCCATTGCACAAGACTCACACAATTGCAGGATCTAAGGAGGGTTAGATACAATGACGGAGCAATGTTATGCCCCCCCAACCCCCCTTCTCATGCTTCACCAATTATGCCTTACACTTCCCTCAAGTTTCAAAAATTATGAGTTAGACCTTTAAAATAATGCTAGCCCCTGTCAAGTTCTCAAAACTATGCTTTATACAACTAAATTTTTTTTTTTTCAATTTCATTATGCATGACTCTCTTATGTTCTCTAAATTATACTTTTTCACTTTCAATTATGACCTTGATTTTCTTTTATCCATCTTTTATTGATTTGAATATGTTGCCCTTAAACATTCAAAATATTTTCATGGATTATTTTCGTCCACAAATTCACGATTTCCACAACCAAATTTACTGATTGTTAAAAATATCACGTGTTTGCATGATCAATGGTACAATGTGTTTGATCCTATAATTGAAATTGGGATCATAGCTTAATGAGAAAAAGTGTAATTTACCAAAACCTTAAATGTGTTAGGTCCAAAGCCCTATATAAGATATATATATATTGGCAATTCGTAATTTGCAAAGACCGGTGAGATTTTTGTTATCATTTGTGTGATAAAATTCTCTAGAAAACACAATTCAAAAACGTGTGTATGTGTGTAATTTGACTTACAAGGTGACTAAGTGCACGAGACTCATATCACTACGGGATTTGGGGAGGGTCAAATATAATGACAGAGTCATGTTTGACTAATCATAATTTGCAAAGACAAGTGAGATTTCATTTCATTATCCTCGAGTGATTATGTGATAAATTCTCTAGAAAACACAATTAAAAAATGTGTGTGAGTGTTTGTAATTCAAACTTACAGGTGATGGAGTCATGTTATCCCCCCTTCCCTCCCACCTTCCCTTCTCAAGTTTCAAAAATTATGATTTAGACCTTTCAAATTATGTTAGCCATTCTCAAGTTTTTGAAATTATGATTTATACCACTAAAATTATGTTTTTTTACTTCAGTATACATGACCCTCTCATGTTCTCTAAATTATACTTTATAACCCTCAATTATGGTCTTGATTTGCTTTTATCCATCTATTATTGTTTGTATATGTTGTACCCTTAATAATTCAAAGTAGCTTCAGGGATTATTTTTGTCCAAAATTAAACAATTTGCACACGACCAAATTTAATGATTTGTTAAAAAATATCACAAGTTTGAATATGATTAATGGTACAATGTGTTCAATCCTCTAATTGAAATAGGAGTCATCTTATAATGAAATAATGTGCAATTTACATAGACCCTACATATATCAGGTCCAAAGTCCAATAAGATATGTATTTGAGACACCAGTAGCTCTGTACCTGATTGTGTTTCGCAATTTGTAATTTGAAAAAACACAATGAAATTCAATTATCCTCAAGCGATTATGTGACAAAAAATGAGCTTCAATTGCTAATTATTTGATGAATTAACCTACAAATGTGTTACATATAATTAATTTGATAAGTTTGAAATTAATCTCATCGATTTTTATCGAAAAATAGATGATTACTTCATTGTGTCATATATAACTTGATTTTAATATAGCTTATACAACAAAAAATTTTGACATTAACAACAGCTCATTGAATGATCCTCGTAAAAAAAAGTTTGATTATGACACTATTTGGCCCGTGAGGGAAAA